AAAAACAAAAAAAAAAAAAAAAAAAAAGAAACCATTAACATGGTAAAGATACAGCCATCCGAATGAGAAAATATATTTGCAACCAATGCCTCCGATAACGGCCCAATATTCAAAATATACGATGAACTCATACAACTCAATAACAATGAAAAAACAAACGATCCAATCAAAAAATGGGCAGAAGACCTGAACAGACACTTCTCCCTAGAAGACATACAAATGGCCAACAAATATTTGAAAAGATGCTTAACATCAGCAGCTATTAGGGAAATGCAAATCAAAACCACAATGAGATACCATTTCACACCTGTTAGAATAGCTATAATCAACAGAACAAGTAATAAATACTAGAGAAGATGCAGAGAAATGGGAACTCTCATACATTACTGGTGGGACTGCAAATTTGTAAAGCCACTATGAAAAACAGTATGGAGATTCCTCATAAAACTAAGAATTGATCTAGCATATGATCCAGCAATCCCTCTACTGGGTATTTACCCCAAAGACTTGAAAACTCATATCCAAAAAGATATTTGCACACAAATGTTCATAGCAGTATTATTCACAGTGGCCAAGACATGGAAACAACCAAAGTGTACTATGATAGATGATTGGTTAAAGAAGCTGTGGTACATATATACAGTTACTCAGTCATAAGAAGAAGAGATGAAATACAGCCATTAGCGACAAAATGGATGGACCTTGAGATAATCATGCTAAGTGAAATAAGCCAGACATAAAAAGTTGAAAACCACATGATATCACTTATATGTGGGATATAAACCTAAAAGCAACAAAGAAACGGGACAAACAAACAGAGACTCATGGATATGGACAATAAACTAGTGGTCACGAGAGGGAGGGGGAAGAAAGTGGGGGAGGAAGTAGATGGGGGGAAATATTAACGAAAATAATTTCTTCAATTAAAAATAAATAAATTAATACATTTTTAAAAAGATTTTAAAAAAAGAGAGATCCTTGAGCTCCTAGATGCTGTGTGGGCCCCTAAGAGAGTGGCAGTCATATATTGCGGGGAACATCAAAAAAAGAGACACTGTGATTACCTGGGGAAATTGCAAAGCGGATCACGAAGCAAAGCTTGTGGCCTCCGAGAGGGTATCAGAACCAACAGCTCTGACTGCCGCCCTGTTCTTCAGTCCCTTAGCGGAGTGGGATTCTAAGTATTCACAGCATGAGGATTCCTGGTTTAAGACCGAAAATGGGAGTTACCTCTCTAGTGGATTGTAGAAGTTTGAAGACAGATGAATAGCAATTCCTGAGGCCCTAGCCCTAGCCTTTGTCAGACAGTTCAATCAGAATACTCACATTGGCTGGACGGTTCTTGAAACCACTTTGGGCCAGTATTTCTACATCCTCTGGCTCTCTAGCATCTCCTGAGTAGTATGTAAAAAATGTGAGGTATGTGTTTGAAACAACCCATGACAGGGGCCCTGTCCTCTCTGGGAGTCCAGAGTGTGGGAGGAACACCCTTTGAGAACTTGGAAGTAGACTTCACTGAGATGCCCCAATCTCAGGACTACAAGTACCTCTTGGTTGGGTAGAAGCTTATCCCACCTGGACTGAGAAGGCCTGAGAAGTAGCCAGACTGATCCTCCAAGAAATTGTTTCACAATTTGGCCTATAAATTACCATTGGCTCAGATAATAGATCAGCCTTTGTAGCAGAAATAGTGCAGCTGCTAGCCCAAAATTTGAACATTAGATGGAAATTGCATACTGCCTATCGACCAAAGAGTTCGGGACAGGTGGAAGGCATGAACAGGACCCTTAAGACTCAGTTGAGAAAACTATGTCAGGAGACACATCTACAATGAGACAAAGTCTTCCCCATGACACTATTAAGAATCAGGTTGGCTCCAACCAAGAAGACTGGGTTCTCCCCCTACAAAATCCTGTTTGGGTGACCACCCGTGCTTCTCAAAGAAATATGAGGAGACCTACAGGAAATAGGCGAATTGACTCTGAGACAGTTACAAGCCCGGGAAACTACTTTGCAGGCTCTCAACCACTGGGTTAGAGAAAGGCTGCCTGTTAATCTGATTACCGAGGCCCATTCCTTTAGGCCAGGAGGTTCGGTGTGGGTCAAGGAATGGAATGTCCAACCCTTAAAGCCTCTTTGGAGGGGCCCATTCACTGCTATCTTGTCCAACTCCACTGCAGTAAAGGTTGCCGAGATGACGCCTTGGATTCACCATAGCAGGCTTAAGCCAGTGGCTGCAGATTGGGAGTGCATTTCAGACTCCACAGAGTCCCTCAGACTAACCCTCCAAAAGAAGACATCGACTGGACTTGCAGATCGAAAGAAGGTTGGCCCTGCTTTGGTCACACCAGAAGCTGACCAATCCATGTGCAGCAGAAGCCTGAGGACGGCAACACCCCACCAAGATGGCCAACATACTCGTAAGGACTCTGTGTTTCTACTAAGCTCATCCTTTAGTATGACCCCTGAGACTATAAATGTAAAGAGGGAATCAGGATAGGTACTCGGTTCATACAGCATAGAAATATCAGTCCTTAGACCAAGAAGAGGATGAAGATGATGCTCTCTGACCTAATCTTGGGCCCGAGCATCAAAGGGGTAATGTGGTAGCAAGGCCCTATCTAACCACTTCCTAGGACTGTTGAAAGTTATTCACTTCCCCTTACAGCCCACCAACCAATCAAAATACACTTTCCTTATATAGAAATACACTTTCCTTTATATAGAAAGAACATGCAAGTCTTTAACTATGAGGAAGTATAAGATATGTATAAAAGAGAAAGCCCCACTGTGATTGGGGCTCAGCCTTTGGATGTGAATCCACTGAGTTGGTGTCAGCATCAATAAACGCTACTTCCTGCTTATTGCCTCAGTGTCCCATCTCTCTGTCCACATATCCTGCAATGGCACAACCCCATGGAAAGGGGCGAAGGAGCCTGGAGAAACCTGGCTCCAATCCCAGCACCACTTCTGCATTGGCTATATTACCTGGGACAGGTCACCTGGGCTCTCTGAAGCCCTATTTTCTCCTGTGTCATCTGGGGGGATGATAAAGTATATTCTGCAAGATTATTTTAGGGCTTGGATGATATGTAAAGCTTCTGGCACATAGTATACTCTCAACATATGGTAACAGTATTTTTTTCTAATTTCCTGGGTTACATCTTAACCTACAGAGAGGGCAACCATCCTCACCTCTCGCTGAAGGACTGTAGCTCTCAGAGCATTAAATAGGAGGAGAAAAGTCATAAGTGAGACTTGAAGTAGGGCAGGGGAGTGGTAGGGAAGTGGAGTGGTCAGCAGAGGAAATTAATGATGATGTAGCCACGTCATCACCACCATCCTCACCCTATCTCCCCTATGTCCAAGGGCCTGCCATTTCTCTTTGTAGCCGGACAGCAGGGCCATGGATGAGTTTGTGGGGAATTCTGCTGAAGTCAGTGAGAGATTCAGGCCCAAGCTTGAAGAAACCCCTTGGGGACAGTTGACCTCGTTCAGCCTCTTGTTCCTGACAGCTCTGCTCACAGAAACCACAGGGTGCCTGCCAGAGGGTGAGGAGGCCTGGCCAGCCCCGCTCAGCCCCACTGAAGCCAGGACCAAGAGGAAACTCCACTTGGTCCATATGGCAGGAACATGTGGGACAGGCGAGCACATGAGGGGCAGATCAGGCCTTGGGTGCCCTCAGTGCCACACCCAGACACTTGGATGCACTTGGAGAGTCATTCTTCTGGCTGTCACCCTGGAAACCTGTTTTTGGACCCAATTGCTCTCCTGCAGCATTCTCACCTTGAACCTCTAGTCCCTGCCTCACTGGGAAAACCAAGACTCTCAATTTGGCTTGCTGCCTACCTGCACCTGGCCACAGCTCATGATCATTCCTCTGTCTGGAAGTCCCTATCCTCACATTTTCAAACTACATGACACTAAAGTGCTTTTGAAGTTGGTCAGTCATGAATGCAGACTAGGGTGGGGAGGTGGGGCCGCAGCAAATCCAAGAATCAAGGTGCACCCACTCGCCCTCCCTGAATCTACTTCCTAGAATATTTGACCTCATCAGTCGCCTCTTACCCCAACTACTATTGTTCGTTGATGACACACACTGGGCCATCCTGGGTAGAGAATCCATGGGAATTAACACAACTTTTTAGTTCTGATTACAGCTTATTACCATAATGGTGAGAATTTCTGGACTCTCCCCAAATTTTCTCTCCTCTAAATGGCCATTTTATGGAATGTCCTCCAAAGTGCTGATACCTCATTGCTGAGTGCTTCCTCTAAACAAATGAAGACTCTCGATGACTGAATAAAATCAGAGCCAGAGACCTCACTCAAAGAAAGGAGGAAGGTGCAGCATCAATAAACGCTACTTCCTGCTTATTGCCTCAGTGTCCCATCTCTCTGTCCACATATCCTGCAATGGCACAACCCCATGGAAAGGGGCGAAGGAGCCTGGAGAAACCTGGCTCCAATCCCAGCACCACTTCTGCATTGGCTATATTACCTGGGACAGGTCACCTGGGCTCTCTGAAGCCCTATTTTCTCCTGTGTCATCTGGGGGGATGATAAAGTATATTCTGCAAGATTATTTTAGGGCTTGGATGATATGTAAAGCTTCTGGCACATAGTATACTCTCAACATATGGTAACAGTATTTTTTTCTAATTTCCTGGGTTACATCTTAACCTACAGAGAGGGCAACCATCCTCACCTCTCGCTGAAGGACTGTAGCTCTCAGAGCATTAAATAGGAGGAGAAAAGTCATAAGTGAGACTTGAAGTAGGGCAGGGGAGTGGTGGGGAAGTGGAGTGGTCAGCAGAGGAAATTAATGATGATGTAGCCACGTCATCACCACCATCCTCACCCTATCTCCCCTATGTCCAAGGGCCTGCCATTTCTCTTTGTAGCCGGACAGCAGGGCCATGGATGAGTTTGTGGGGAATTCTGCTGAAGTCAGTGAGAGATTCAGGCCCAAGCTTGAAGAAACCCCTTGGGGACAGTTGACCTCGTTCAGCCTCTTGTTCCTGACAGCTCTGCTCACAGAAACCACAGGGTGCCTGCCAGAGGGTGAGGAGGCCTGGCCAGCCCCGCTCAGCCCCACTGAAGCCAGGACCAAGAGGAAACTCCACTTGGTCCATATGGCAGGAACATGTGGGACAGGCGAGCACATGAGGGGCAGATCAGGCCTTGGGTGCCCTCAGTGCCACACCCAGACACTTGGATGCACTTGGAGAGTCATTCTTCTGGCTGTCACCCTGGAAACCTGTTTTTGGACCCAATTGCTCTCCTGCAGCATTCTCACCTTGAACCTCTAGTCCCTGCCTCACTGGGAAAACCAAGACTCTCAATTTGGCTTGCTGCCTACCTGCACCTGGCCACAGCTCATGATCATTCCTCTGTCTGGAAGTCCCTATCCTCACATTTTCAAACTACATGACACTAAAGTGCTTTTGAAGTTGGTCAGTCATGAATGCAGACTAGGGTGGGGAGGTGGGGCCGCAGCAAATCCAAGAATCAAGGTGCACCCACTCGCCCTCCCTGAATCTACTTCCTAGAATATTTGACCTCATCAGTCGCCTCTTACCCCAACTACTATTGTTCGTTGATGACACACACTGGGCCATCCTGGGTAGAGAATCCATGGGAATTAACACAACTTTTTAGTTCTGATTACAGCTTATTACCATAATGGTGAGAATTTCTGGACTCTCCCCAAATTTTCTCTCCTCTTAAAATTTTCAATTAAGAGCCTAACCTAATGGGAAATGGCCATTTTATGGAATGTCCTCCAAAGTGCTGATACCTCATTGCTGAGTGCTTCCTCTAAACAAATGAAGACTCTCGATGACTGAATAAAATCAGAGCCAGAGACCTCACTCAAAGAAAGGAGGAAGGTGTCTACAAAGCACTTTGGTGAGGCTGTGCTCAGAGTTGGCCCCTCCCTGTGGGCACCAGCCTGGTTGGTGGAAGGTCTCTGGCCTGAAGAAAAGCTGTGAGCCAAGATGAAGTACAGATGGCTGAGGAGTCAGGCCCAGCTGCCAGCAAAGCAATTGAAGTCTTGAGGAAACTTTCCTGATTGTATTAATGAGATGGCACCACCAGGACATAATCAAATCTCTCTGGAGGACATGGCTTCCAGAAGGGCTGCTGCTCACATATGGCAGAATTAGCACCACCAGGGCCAGACAGAGTGGAAGGAGGGAAATCCTATGCTCAGGACCCAGGGCAGGAGGTCAGAGAAGCTGCTGTGCTGTGGCTTGCTGGGCAACACAGGGCCAGTGGGCAGTGCTGGTTGCCTGGCTTCAGGAGGCAGCTTTTCACGG